CCGAAGTCCCGATGAGTCCGGATTAACGACTTTTGACTGTAATATTTTGCTCCATGTTTGAAAACAATGCCCAGTCTTGCATTTATATTAACCCTATAACCAGCAAGGCCGTATACATATGGCTTAGAATATTTTTTGTGATATCTGCAAAAACATATATAGTATACGTGCATCTTGAAATAAGTCCAAAGCACAATATATTAAAAGTACAGAAATCCAGGTATGAAGTACCAAGGGCATTTTAGCATCACAATCAAGAAAATACCTTCTTCTCGTGGTAGTTTTTGAAAACTATCTTTTTCGGTGAAACCTCTTTCCAGTCAGTTGATTTATTATTTTTAAATATACCATGTTATATCCCATTGAACAGTGATAAGCAAACTTCCCCCAAAAAGTTAACAAGTCAATAATTTATTCTAAAACTTTAAAATTAATGTACAAATAGTAATGTGATAAATGAAACTGCATTTTTATAAACTCCTTAACCCTTTCAGTCCTAATGAGTACATATGTCCCAGAGATAAGATTTCATTCCCGTTTGGGTAAATAAAACCCACTTTTAAATGCGTTTTTACATTTGCAGTTTTTTTAAGGAATTAAGGAACAAATATATGACTAAAGAAACCTGGCCTATTTGCCAAATGTTTCAAGTTGCATTTTGTAAAGACTGCTTTACGCCATATCATACTTAACTTTGTACTGTAAGAATATAATATTCGGTACATTTCATTTAACTTTATTATTTATTAACATGCAGTGCAAGGTTATTATCAGAATATCATAGATTGAGACATATTGTCTCATGAGATTTACAGGAAACGTGAAAAGTTAAAAACTTTAAATTCATATTACACTTTTTTTAGTATGTCAGCATTAACTACTTTTCAAAGTTAATTTAAATCATGCAAAGTCAGGTCAAAAGGGCTAAAGTCAGATTCGAAGCGCAATGTTCTAATTCTGAGAAATGGCTCTCAATACTCATCTGTCAGTCTACGAGATATTAAATTTAGGAATAATGATCTGTAAAACTATAATTTCGGAACACTGAGAAATAACTGCTTGAGTTGATTGTCAGATAGTAACGCAATTAATTCAAGCTGCAAATTGGGCCTCGCTGCTTCACAATTTATGTTGAAAGGCTTGATGAAAGTATCCAAATTATGTTTAATTGGCACTGGAATCTTGAAAGCTGCATTCAAACTCAAAATGCAGTTTTCTTAGCCCATTTTCATAATTACAAAGCTCATTTTTGTTTACGGAAGGTATAGAATTTAACCTCAGGAAATGAGACAAGTTTTCTATGATCAAGTTTAATGTCCAAACAGATCAAAAGCTTTAATTTAAAATCCTTGAGATGAGACCAGGATCATTGATAAATTTTTTTCTTTGGATCGTGACATTTAAGTTGTTGACACGGAAGATCTGTGAAAAATGCAAAGTTTGAAAATCATGCTGCATTTTCCCACATTTAATACATCACAAAGCACAGTTTCTCATCGAAGAACAATTCACTGTAGTCTTTCAACTGCCATACTCACTCGAAAACTCACCTTGCAATAAGCCACCTCACTTTCATGTAATACAATACAGCAGCATATTCACATTGTACAGAGTGAAGAAAATCTCGAAAGCAATTCACAAGATTGAACATTATTTACAAGACTATGACTGCATCAAGTACAGATTTCATATTTAATGCAGATGCATACAGGACATCTAGATATATAATGTAATGTAAAAAGGCAATGCTATTCTCAGGATAGTCTTGATTTCCATCACACTTTCTTATAAGTCTCGTTATATGTGTATGTGGTTGTGTCACAACAGAAAAGCATTGGGCACAGCTTAAAATACGGTGCAGATGTCAATGAAATGAAATAACAGACTTCTAAATGAACTTGTCTTCCATATTGATCACACAATGTCCTTTTGTTTTGGCATGAGCTTCCATACAATATAATACACTAATAGCTGTGAAAAATGCAACACCGTGAAGAAATTATTAGAAATGAATGAAATTTATTTTACGTATTTTACTGACAGTAGTACAAATAAACAATCAAATTTACAAGACAAAATGAACATCAGAAATCAAACTTCGTGTATCGACCAGACTGAGCGATGACAGCCTGTACACGTCGTGGCGGGTGAAGTGCAGAATCGTCCACTTATTTGGGACGTTTTGTTTGGTGCTTTTTGCAAAAGTAAGAATTGGATTTTTATCAATTTCCTTTGACTTTTTAAGTGAAAACAGATTGATGTGTACATGAACAAAGTCAAAGATGTGTGCAATGTCGAGTTTGTGCAATTCCCTGATTTTTTTTTAAGTGAAAATAGGTCGATGTGCACATGGATACTGAATTTGTACAATTCTTAAAAATGCGCTAAGCAGTGGGCGATTCTTCACTTTCCCCATCGTGGCATTGAATCATATCAGTTCTGAATGCGATCCTGGGGAATGGCATTCCATATGCTTTGACGCTACAATTCAGTCATAGTGTGTGCCCCACCAGCTGTACGGGCGAGTCGTCGACCGATGAAATTCCAGACACGCTCAATAAGCAACATATCCAGATAATAAAGCAGGCCATGGAAGAAGTGAAACCTGTTGTGTCCCAAAGAAGGCTTCTGCAGTCTGAGAAACATGTGCATGAACATTATACTGCTGAAATACAGCGTCCGGAATTTATCTAAGAACGGAGATAACCTTCTGGCTCTACAACTTTCCTTAGGTAGGGATCACTGTTAAGGTTGCTCGTAATCTGCACTAAATGGGATCAGCAATTATACCCAATAGCTCCTCACATAATGATGCCAGGTATTTGCACAATACAATCCAATTTGACACTAGAGCCTATATTTCTTCACCGTTTCCAATTAAAATGCAAAAAATTATTCTCCTGAAATAATTTCCTGTGTCCCGATGCAAAATAATAATGCATGTGCTACACTTCTTACATATGGATTAAATCTGCAGTCTAATCAGTTTCCTATTATTTTCCTAATAAAACTTTTGGTTTAATCCTAGTATCCGGTGCACACGGGATTTGGCTACTTTTGGCAACTTTATGATGAACAGTAAAAACGGGACATATATGATGAGTAGTTAACGGGTCATTCAAAGAAAATATACAGTTAAACATAGTATATACTATGTATATAGTATATATGCTATGTGTGTATATACATATACTATGTGTGTATAATATATATATAGAAGTTCTTTGGATCATTTTTGGTGTTGGCGATAATTTTCAAAGTCGCACCAAGGCTGCACCGTATGCTAGGATTTTACCGGACTTTTTCACTCTATAGAATCTAACAGGATTAAAGACAAAATTTTAAATTTGAGCTGAATATTTTATTCTTAAAAACACTAAAAGACCATAAAAACACTATTTTTCAAAAAATCACATTTTAAAATTTAAGTTTCACATATTTAAAATGTTGATATTTTCAGAAATGATAAACATTCCATTACTCTTCAGAGACTTGGAACATTTACAATACATTTCATAAACTCAAAATGAATCATTTCCTCCTTGAATACATCAAGTGAATTTCCCTATTTAAATTGAATGCCTAATATATATACATATATAACTGTATTGTGAAATATAGATATATTTCACAATATGTTTCTTACATATATAACAGTATTGTGAAATATATATGTATTGTAATTATCATGTTTACTTTTATAAAAATACCATACATTAAATTAAGAGATTTAAAAATTAATTAATGTATGGAAATATTTAAAAGGTATTTGTTCCCATACATTAAATTAAGAGATTTAAAACCTACCACACAACTTCCTTTGAAAAAATATTCTAAATATGAAAAAAAAAAAAAAAGATAAAAACAGCTTAGATATAATTTAAATTTACCCTAATTAATAACAGCATGATAAAAATTCTATTAATTTCACAAATTTATTTCCTTTATTTCTCAGTTTTCAAATCTTTATCTGAAAATAAGTATTATTCTGCAAAGAAAGTAAACTACTATGCTTTGTGCATCACTAGTAGACAAATTTTAGTACATCACTTTTTATGAAGCCTAATAAGTTTATTTCTGTTACTATAAAATACTCAAAATAACTAAAAGGTACACAAAAGGTAAAATTACTGTAAAACTACCTCCCAAATTTAGTAATATTACACAGCAATACTAGCTTCCAATACTCAAACATCTAAATATTACTCAATCTTAGTTTAAAATATTAACTTTAATTAATCAGAAAATAACCACAGAAACCTTTTCTTTGTTCATTACAGAAAAATCTGCCCCCCCCTCCCGGGTCAAATTTGAAATCTAAAAAAATTGTCATATTAAATATGTCTCAAGCTTGAAACCTTTACCATTTCAGGATTATAAAAAAACTTCAAATGATTATCATGCTAAATACAGTAAATGCACAAAATATTTTTTTAACATAGATCTATAAATCAGCCTTCTGAAAATTTAAACTAAACCTTTTTTTTAACAAATCTATTTAGATTTGCTTTCTCTTACTTTTGAACATTATAAAATTATTTTCAGAATAATATTTCTACATGTATTCCACAAAAAAGCAATCGTGTCACTTCACGCAAAGAACTATTTCATAATCCTTATCGCTAAATATTTCATTACTGAACGTTTTCATAAAGATGAAATATGCAATATTACAGAATGTTATTAGAACACTGAAATTATATGGAAAAAAAATCAAAAAAAACTTAAGCAGATAAATCTAGTGCGTGGTAACACATTTGACACCCCTCAACCTAAGCCTACTGTGTTATCATTCGTGTCACCAGTATTTAACTGATTTGGTATGAAGAAGAAAATTCTAGCTCTAAATAAATTGGATAATGCTCATAAAAAAAGGCAAACGTTGATAAATATTTTTTTAAATATTGAACGAATATTTTAAGACAACTTCCCATAGGCATAAACCTACTACACTTTGCTTATAAAACATAAAAAAAAAAAAAATAATAATAATAACTTACTCTAGATATTTCCTGTACACTAGATTTAAAGTTCTTTTTAGTTAAATTAGCCACGGAATAACTAATATTAGACAAAGCAAAAGACAACGAGTCTAGGTTCATAGTTCCATGAATACTACACAGAAAGCTTCAAACAGCTTTGAAGCTTTCTTGGTAGAAAAAAATAATGTCCAATAAGCCTGCCAAGTTTCTCTGAAATCAAGTACCAAGTAACTAAAACACAACATCGATAAAATTAACAATATTTTTCATGAAATGTTATGGCGAATATCAACAACAGTATCGACCATTGCCAAATCTTCACTTGGGTCAAGTATTTACCAGATCTTGCATATCGCATTAACGCTCAATTGCCGTCTTCTTTAGCTCTGAGAAAGTAGTCCTGATGCTTATAATAAAATTTTAATACTGTTTTAATCATAAAATATAACAAGCAAAATAAATATCAGAATATAGGGATTTTATATAAACGAACAATTATTTTAAATAATTTTTTGCACTTAAAATCATTATCGAAACATATATGTTCATATTAATTTTAAAAATTACTTAAATATCCTTCTATAAATAAGTTTTTTAAACTTTTTTGTTCATAATTGCAGAAGAAATGCATAAGATTTTATCAGATTTTTTTTAATATTAAATTAGTTCAGTGGATAGAAATGATTATCATCTAGTGTATTTAAACTAGTGTAAATTTAAACAGTCATAATAAAAAAGTATTTTTTAAAAGATGTCCCTTCAGTTGCTTTGCTTAAATCTGATAAATTAAAATACTGTAACTTCTGTATAATTTTAACTGTGATAATTTTGTAACTGTGGCAAAGATGGTCTATGGATTGTAACCCTTTTAATAACGTAAGTTATATTATTCTGTTTTTATTCTTGATCTGTTGTTACTACATTCAGATATGCATTAATTAAAATGTTTGTAAGCTGGACATCCAAATTTCGCGAGTGTCATATTCATAATAGTGTAAAATGTGCTAGATGGCGCTTTGTGATCTTAGGGGGCGCTAGGTAGATAGTGTATTGAAATGTGATTCCAAATTTTATCGCTAGGGTTTAGTAATTAAAGAAAGTTGTGATTTATTTTTAACTTCTCGTTTAAAATACAGATAACTGTCATATTACTCTAAAATTATACCTACTGTCAGTACTAATGTATTATGCGCAATATCATTATATTCGTACCCAAATACAGTTAAGAATTTAGTCCTCGAAAATTCACTTAAAAATTTTGAGAAAATGAATATTTTCGCTGACTTTTTTAAGCAGTTTAACTCACCAGCATGCATGATTTTATATAGAAAAACATTATTTAATTCTTTTTTCACACCTAACTTATTATGTGTACTATATAGCTTTATTGTTTTTACATGAAATTTTAGGGCTTTAAAATTATCATGGCATTTAATTCTTGGTTATCAATATATCCTTTAAGTACAAATTGCTACGTTATTAAATGTAACTGGATTTTCCTATTTTCCTAAACAAAAAAGTAAGCACTTTGTGTATTTTTTGTTGTATGGTTAGTAGGATTGTACCGGAAAAAATGTTTCCGCTTTTACGAGCAGATGAACTTTATATGTGTATAAGAACTTCAGTTGCTGAAATTTTAAAAGTAGAATTCATTCTTAAATTAACGTGAATTTTAGATTTTAAATTTGTTTAATTGAATTATCTGTAATGATATACTGAATAGCAGAAGAAAATTTATGTAAGGCATTTTATATTAATTTTTATAATAAGGAAATTATTGGTTTAAAGGAAATGACTCCAAGTTTTGACATTTAAAATAGGATCATTTAATAAGATTGTGTAGCTTACACCTCAAGCCATCCAAAAGTAGTCGTATGGTATTGTTTAATCTTTTTATGTACAATATTAAAAGTTCCTTTAATTGCATTTAAGGAGAGGAATAAACTATTATTTGTGCATTTATAACAAACTATTTATTTCTGAATTCACAAAAACATACAAAAAATTAATAAGAATAAAATCAGATTTTTACTGAATATGATGAAAGCAGAGTCTATTAAATTTTGGAAATAGGATTTATTAGATAAAATAATTAGAATTCTGATAACTTTTTTATATTTTCTGTTAATTTATAAAAAGCAATGTTTTTTTTTTTTTTTTTTTTTTTTTTTTTTTTTTTTTTTTTAATTTTATGATAGTAAGCATATTTTAAATGTTTACCATTTATTTTAATTTTATTCATTAGAAATATACATTTCTGTATCATGAATATTTGGTTTTTCTGTAGCTGGATTTTATATATGGGAATAATGTAAAAACATTGTCTCTGCTTGTAATATTTAAAGCAGTATTAATTAATGTTTATTACTCAGTGAAAAGGTGGCTCCCAAAAGTGTTCATACACTTATGATTTTCATTGAAATAGGGCTCTATCCATTAATTAAAAGTAAAACTATCTGAATGAGATTTTAATAATAAGATCTATAATCTATTTGTAACAAAATTATATAAAATATTTTTTAAATATAGCAAAACTTTATTTTTAAGAAATTAGTAATCAAAAAATGGCAAACATTTTATGTCACAAAAGGCTTCGTACACTTCAAATATTTTCGTACACATATTAGTAAATATTTTCATTTTTCGTTAAATTAATATTTAGTAGGATATCCTTTAGCATCCACAACAGCTTTTAAGCATCTGGGAATATATTTTACTAATTTTTTTGTAATTTCTGTATCAATGTTCATCCATTCTTCCATCATGACTGTTTTGCAGGGGCGTGGCAAGGGGGGGCATCTGTTCGCGGGCGCAGAATCCAAGGTGCGCCAAACCGATGTTACAACATTTTAGAATTAAATGTTTTCCATCTTTGGCAAGCAGTAGGGGGCGCGAAATCTTCAGTTGTCCCTGGGCGCTGAAACCCTAGCTACGACTCTGCTGTTTTGAGTTCGCTTTTCATTTTGATGTCGTGGTTTCGTACTCTAACCTCCAGTTCTTTCCAAATGTGTTCTATAGGGTTTAAATCTGGCGACTAAGGTGGTGTTTTAAAAACCTGTGGACATTATAGAGAAACCACAGGCAAACATTGAGAGCCGTATGCTTAGAATCGTTATAGTGATTAAAAATAAAGTTGTTTCCAATACCCAAATTTTGGTCTGATAATTTTAAATTGTCTCCTTAAATATTTAAATAAAGAGAATGATTCATTATGCCATCAATAAATACCAAATTACCTAGTCTTGATGCTGCCATGCACCCGCACACAAGAACCCCTCCACCGCCATGCTTAACTGTTCCAACTAAGTTCTTAGAATGAAGTTCCTCAGTTTTTCTTTTCCATACAGTTATACGACCATCTGAACCAAAAATGATAAATTTGCTTTCGTCTGCAAATAGGACATTATTCCAATACTTTCCGGGTGTATTTATCATTGATTTTGCGAATGAAAGCCTAAGCTTTCTGTTTTTCTCACTAACAAAACATTTTTTTCGGGCAGAATGCCCATGTAATCCAGCTTCTCTGAGAATTTATCGAACAGTTTCAGGTGAAATTGAAGTAGAAAACTTTGCATTAAATTCTGCAGAAACTTTTACAGCACTCAAACGTGGGTTTTTCACAAATTTTCTAATAATAAATCTTTTATTAGGTTTAGTTAACTTTATCGGTCAACCTTTTCTTACCTTGTTTTCAATCCGATTTTCTTCTTTAAAGTGTTTTATCACATATTGCACTGTACAATGGGATAAATTAACTAATTTAGTGATATTTCGAATTGATTTACCACTTCTATGGTGAAAAATTATCCATTTTCAAATGTTGTTTGTAATTTCTTTAAGACTGTGACCCATATTTCAATAATAAGTAGAATATTAGGAAATAAACAATAAAAAATTAAAGCAAATGATTTTTTAAATGCCACCACAATGCAAAAATTAAAAAAAAAAGGGCAAACGATAATTCTAATTTTGATTTTATCCAAAAAATATTTCAGTATACAAAGACTTTTGTGAGATAAAATGTTTGTCATTTTTTTATTATTAATTTCTTAAAAATAAAGTTTCGCTATATTTAAAAAATATTTCATGTAATTTTGTTACAAATAGATTATAGATCTTATTATTAAAATTTCATTGAGAAAGTTTGCTTTTAATTAATGGATAGAGCCCTATTTCAATGAAAATCATAAGTGTACGAACACTTTTAGGAGCTACTGTATATTAAAATCCGGTACTTTTCCGTTTCACCGGCGCAAATCTTGCCAAGCAGCCTTTGTTGGCGACAACATACAGTATACACATAAAAAATATTAGTTCTAATAATTTTTTATTTTGAAGGCATATATATTTTAATATGCTTTAAAATTTTGTAAAAAGCCAATAAATAAAGAGAATAAATTTGTAAAAACACATTAATTTAAGAATTTACTATGCTTTCATAGTTCAACATCCTGATTCGCCAGTTCGTATCACGTGACCCTAAGTGATCTCATCTTATGTAAACTACGCTACAAAAATCTAATTCTCTCAGTAATTATATACATTAATTGAATTAAATCTTAATTTGGAATACAAGTTTAAATGCAAGAATTATTTCAATTCGTCCGACTAGCTTACTCGGAAATTATGTGCAACTGCAATGCTTTACTTCACTAGTGCATTCTCATTAGAATTGATGAATTTAACCCTGGATTTTGCTTTTTCTATATTTTTGCCTTTGGATGAGTGGTGTGATTGCATTCTAATTGACTTAATTACCGTGAATGGTCTTAGGGCATAAAATTTAACTATCTTGAAAAAATTTTGTGTAATTATATGCCAGTATTAAAAGAAATAATCAATCTAATGAGAAATGGCTGCGACTTGTTTTGAAAATGAGGCATGAAAGCGAAGATATTCCGTTTGGCATCAATTGTACCATTCTTGGCGACTTTAACGTTTGCGCTGGCAAAACGGAAAAGTACCTAAAATCCTTATTAATTACTTTTATTCGGTAGTTATTAAATTAATGAGAAATTTTGTAATACAGTGCAAAGCGAAATGAGTTGCATGCTATTGTGCTTTCTTTCTCTTTTTATGCTCATGCTGTTGAAGAAATATTTTACATGGGCAAAGAGAACTTCTTCCTTCTCTTTTCGTTCCACTATGTGAAAGATCAGGCAGATTTCACACAAATCGCATGTAGTTGTTTTGTAGCTGTACAAAGAGTTTTTCGTTGAATTTACTGCAGTTTATTGCTATTGTTTTTTTGGTATAGGTGAACTGTTTTTGCTCTGAGGTTTAGTTTGTACTAAGCATTAAATTTAAGACTTTTTTATCCTTATTTTGAGCTGCTTTTAAAGTTCCATATTATATCTGTGAGACTGAGTTGAGTATCTTTTCTAGAAGGTTGAAGCAAAATTGAAAATCGGAGGTGCTTTTAATGAACTTAATTCAGCGAATATTTAGCTTTTGGTCTTTGATTTAAAACTTTAATTAATTTTAAATAGCCTTTCTTTAAAGGATATATGTAGTGTGTGTGTGTGATTTCATGTAATGAATCATGTTGCAGTTGTGGAGTTGACTTGCTGACAAAAAAAGTGTCGCATTTTTTTCCTAAAATATGGCATTAGTAGTTTGTAGAAATGTGTGTTTCATTAATTTAACGATTGAATTATATGAGTTATCTTGGAGGATTTACATTTACCTAAAAATAAATAAGTAACAATGTCTTTGAATTCATTGTCTTAGGAATCTGCCTATGGATAACATTAATGGGTACTTACAGAAAATCCCGTCAATCGCAAGAGACAGCGCCAAACCAAACAAAAAAAAAATTTAAGAAAAAACGTTTTGTTCTTATTTTTCTTTCAAATTTATTATCATTTATGTATATTTAATTTTTTATTAAAAATTTCCATTATTTTTAATTAAGAAGATATTAATGTAAAAGCAATTATTTTCGCAAGAAAAATATGTATCTCAAAATACTTTTTTTTCGCCTCAAATAATAATAAAAATCCAAAATTTGGTAAAGTGAAAAAAAGGAATCTACAAAAATATAATTACTAACACGCATAATCAAGGTTATGCCAAACCAAGTGTGGTTGAAGAAGTCTCATTTTAGGCAAAAAAATCATCTTGTTTGATGTCTTTTCTTTAATAGGCAAAAAAGGTCAATGGTATTTTCCGTAAGTATCCATTAATGGTATTATTTAAAGAAAATTTTCCAAAATATGGAGAGACAAAATAAATATTCATCTATATTTTTAATTCATACTGTTCGGTTATCAGGACTGGGTTAGGAAATGTACATATGTATGCATGTACAATGTGTGTATACATATACACATACATACAAACACACGTTCATACATTTCTGAATCCAGTCATGATAACTGAACGGTACCTTTTTATTCCTTAAAATTTTTCCTAAAATATAAGTTGAGTTTTGAGAGAATTTTATATTTGAGTAAATGTAGTGTGTATAAATGCTTCGTAACTTGTAAAGGATTTTCAAGTCTTTCATTTTAATATTTTTCTAGTATGAATTTACACCAGTTCACATGACTGTCTTCTGGTTGAGAAGATGGAACATTATTTTATTTACCAAGATCATATAGAATAGAGATACATTTAGAATGTCTTTTATGTAGCATCAACATTTTCTGCTGTTGTAGAAACTATTTTAGTTTTCTAATAGTTATTTTTAATTTTGAACCCTTTCCGGTAAATTCTTGTTTTCCCACCTACAACTCCATGCCAGAATGAGATTTCGGTATCGTGCTTTATGTAAATGAAGTAGAAAAAGTAGGTAAAATAGGTAACTGAGGTAAACTTACGTAAATGAGCTCAGAAGTTTTCAGTGCAGTATGTTCTGCCGTAAAAAACAGCTGTAGTCTTATGTGCCTGTTCGTATTTGCCGGTGAAGTTTAATAATGTGTCAACTCGGTTAGTTATATATGTACAGCTTCAGCTAAAGTTTACCTAGTTAGAATTAGTTTATTTCTATTTGAAGTTAAAGCTCAGGAGGAGGCTTTTCTGTAAGCCCGAGAAAGGGCCATCTGTGAGTGTTTGTTTGAGTGAATAAAAGGGTATTTTAACACATTTTTAGACTTATATTTTATGTAGTTGTAGGAAGATCAGTGAATAGTTGCTAAACACTTCTATAAAAGTTCTAGTAGCAAGGACATGTAAATTAACTAGAACTTGATACTGTAATTAAAGTAAATGGGTGATCTTCACCTGTGACACATTCTAACAAATTTTTCACCTTTTAATCTGAGCATATAATCAAAATATTATAGTATATAAAGGCACTTTCAAAAGATATTAATCTTCTGAATGGCATGGCTGCCTTTTTCCACTCGTGAGATTTTTTTTTTTTTTTTGTCACTTGGTGCGTGCTATGTTATAATTTAAAATACTTTTTTTATTTCTTTAATAATATAAATATAAATATCATCATAATGGATCGAAGTTTATGAAAACAGAGACTAAAATAAGTATGTCTTCATAGACATCTAAAAGGCTGTGAAACTATTTTGAAAACCATAAAAAGTGCAAGAGATTTTTTAGGAGCAACCTTGTTTCTCGATGTTATGAACATTCATGATGCCTTTTTTTAGGCATCTGATAAAGTTCTTTTTCAAACCGAAAGTAGTGGCATTCTTGAAATCCTTCGAGTGTTTTACATATATTGTTAATAATAAAATTATGTTAATGTAATTTAGAACTGACCTACAGTTTTAATATCTGTATGTAAATAATAATTAACAGAATATAAATGTTAATTTGAATTGAAATAGTTAGTGCAGTTTAGATAAATAAATGATTAGGAAAAATTAAATTATACATATGCATTCATTCCTTTAGCTTAATTAAAGTGGTTTTTAGCACCTCTGTAACAAGTGATATTATTCTGTAAGTAGTTTAAGGTTCAGTGAATGAACAAAATGTTAAAAATTCTACTATACTATTTTTGTTCCCTGTGTGTAAATTTTAATTAGAAAAATTTTAGTCCTTTATGTAGCTTTAAAATATTGAACTGTTTTGGTTTCTAATATTATGTGTATTCTTTGAGTAATTTTGTTACAGTATTTCATTTTCTCTTATCAGAATGGAGGAATTAAAGCAAGAAGGTGAAGAAGCATCTGACATAAGAAATTATTTAGCATCTTTCCACAAAGAAATAGAATGTGAAGATATGGATGATGCAGATTCAGGAAATGATATGGAGGATAATGAATCCGATGGAGAATGTGCTAGTGCTGATGAGTTATATGTTTATCCATCCAAAAATGTGGTTTGTATATTATCAACTTTTTTTTTATTTTTATTTTAATATGATTTTAAGATGAAACACACTTTTGTTTGTAAAATTTTGGTTCATAAATGTAATTTATTCATGAAGGTTATTTATCATCTGATGTGGAAATGAATGGAAATCATGAAATTTAATGAAATTTAAGGCAAAAAAGATAAACACAATGTTTTGTCAATAAAATAAGATAATTAATTAATTTTTTTTATATTGTTCTTTGCAAAGAAAAGTTGATAGCAAAAGTAGATAGTAAAAAGATGTTATTGGGTACTTACCTTTTGTAGCGACCTAGGTGAGAATGTTCTTTTGGTGCATTACTGTATTTTCAGCTGCCAAATCTATGCATATACATTTCTTTTATTGTCTCTCTTCAAATTTTTGTGTGTTCTTGTAGTTTACATTTCTTCAGCTAGGGAAAATTTTTGCTTTTAAAATATAGCGGTTTAACATCGCAAATATTTATTATGCTTACTTTTTTCAGTCTACCATTTACTGAAAATTATGCTATAGAATTTTTTCAAGAAAAATTTGCTTTACCAAACAAGAGAATTTGTGAATGTGGGCATAATATGCAATCAGATATTAGAAACAAAAGGAACCAAGTCAACGGGATAATGTATTGAAGGCATTAATAGTAACAGTTGCTGAACTGTAGCCGCTAGAAAGCATTTGTAAAAAATGAATTTTACAGTATGTTTATGTGTTTCATTTTCGTAAATTTATTTTTTAACAAATTGCTAACAAAATTGTAGTAAATAAAATAATAAATAGAGTTTTACAATTTATGTAATTAGTTTATATTATAAAATACAAAATTATTAAATACTATAATAAATACAAAGATCGCCCGCCGGTGAAGTGGCTTAGCGCGTCCCACAACTGCCCGCGTCCGGGGTTCAATTTCCTGGCTGGGCAAGGTTGACTCAGCCTTTCATCCCTTAACACTAGAATTACGGTGGTCTTCGTATACGTAGAATTACGGCAGGTGTCATTTTGATCCCTTGATAAGATATCTGCATATTTCTGTGTATGATATAATATATTTGTGAAAAAGAAATTGAAATAATGCAAATTATGACAACTACAGTTTATTTTAAAGAATATAGAGACTCTGCTGGTATGTAATCAAGTAATGAACAAGCATTTAAATATTTTCACCGGAAATTTTTTTTTTTTTTTTTTTTTTTTTTTTTTTTTTTTTTGTTTAGATAGCTTACTTTTCAGAAACACAGAAAATAAGCGTATAAATATTTATGCAAATTTTTCCAAAAAAAGTAGTTTTTAATCCAAATATTTAATTATTTTAAAACAAACTTTTTGCTATCAAGAGTACATAGAAATAGAAATATATATAAATATTTTATTTACAGATAATATATTAGTCAGCGCAACAATTAGCACACACGCTTGTCTTTCTGATTTTTTGTCTATAATATCCACATACATATTTATTACATTTGTCGCAAATATTAGAAGTTTTGTTACCTTTGCATTTCCTTACTTGACATTTCTTCCTTCTACAAAGCCACTTGAAGAGAGAACAAATTTGTTTTTACTAGATATATATTCTTCTCTTAGTTCTTCTGCCAAATGCAGTAGAAAATCCTTTCTGCTTATATTTTCTTTTGTAACTTCTTTATACAGAATCCACGCATTTATGCCTGCTAAGTCCAAAATATTGTAGAATACATGTACTGGCCAACAGCGGGATGGTGCTTTCATGGAGTACTTTCTTGCCATTTACCCCGAATTTTGTAGAATTGTAAAACTGTATTACATCAGAAACCTTCTTTTCATTACATTCAAATTCAACTGATGAATGGAGTGTACTTAAATTAGTTTTTGTTCCTTTTACCTTGATATGATGTAAGTGTTATATAGTCGTGTTTCATCACAACTGAAGAAAAAATCACAAGAATCCCAAGATGTTTCATCTCCATTTTTATCTGTAGAATTATTTTCGATTTCAGAACCGGAATCGGCATCAGAGAGTTCTTGCATCAATTTCACGATTTCTTCATGCGCTAGTCCTTTTCCATGCACCATTAATACGTCACTATAATAAATTTATGTAAATAGAATAAAATTTTCCACTAAAACTTGTTATGAATAATAAACAAAATATCTACGAAAAATTTACAAACGTCCAGCTCAATGTTCAGCTGGTAATAATCTCTTTTCTCTGTTTTCTTTCCACAGAGAAGCCCACTAGCGGCCGAGCGGTAAAGACGCTGAACATTGGTAATTCGGTTCGAGGTTCGAATCCCGCGAACGGGCTGGCTGCATGGGCGTTTTCGTGGTTTTCCCCATGTGTAACGTGTATACGAGCCAGTTTCCCTTAGAAAGTCCTCCACAAAAGGCATCCCTCCCCTTAGGCAGATAGCCCTAGTGTGCTTTGCCGTATTCTCAATACACACACACACACACTTTCCACAAAGAAAAGTATTGCACATATTTCAAATCATGTGACTGACAGATGTGAAACTATTAAACCTCTGCAGACCCACCATATTCTTTTCCTTTGTTTGTATTTTGTTTAGCAGGTGCAAATAAAAATAGTTTACAGAAGTAACAGTGTTCAGATAATAGAATGGAATGTATTCACATTTCTTTTCTCTCAAAGGGGTCAAAATGACACCTGCCGTATTTCTAGGTATAATCATTTGTTAGAGCTAAAATAAAAATATGATTTTCTTGAAATCTTTACTATTTCATAAATCGCAATGATTTAGGAAAAGTCGAGAAAAGATTAAGATATTTGCGGAAAAAAAAAAGAGCTGTCAGAGATAAAAGTTCGCTAGGTGTCAAAATGACACCTTCCGTAATTCTAGTGTTAAGTAGGTCGATAAAATGAGTACCAAGTTCACGTAGGGACTAAACACTGGGGGTCCTGCAACAAGCTGACCACTTGTCCAAAGCATATGCTGATGCACTCAAGGGCCCAAGGTCCTTTCCCGGAGTGTGTTTAATTACTAGATTATATTACGGTAACTTAAGTGCCCACCTTATTAATCTCAGCGATAATTTTTTACCAGAATAGAGTGGTGACCGCAGCGTGGTCAGTATACACAGTTACTGGAGAACTTCCAAAGTAAACGCGGAATTTGTGCATCGCTAATAAAACTGCTAGAGTTTCTCTTTCTGTGGGTTTCGTTCGACTGAAAAAAGCCACGGGCTGCCCATTTTGGGAAAGAACTGCCCCAATCACAAAATCTGAGGCATCCGCTGAAATTTCTAGTCCTTTATCCCCCTCCAGGAATTTTAAAATGGGGGCACGTGTTAGGAGGTCTTTTAATTTTTGAAATGCCGAGTTGGCTTCTGCTGACCACGAAAACCTAGCTTTCCTTCTCTTCAATTTAAGCAGTGGCTCAGCTATTTTAGAAAAATCTTTTATGAAGGATCTATAGTATGAACAAGAAACGATAATAACTTTTTAGCCATGTTAGGAGCAGGATAATTTTGGATAGCTATAATCTTGGACTTATCGGTTTCAATGCCATTCTGAGAGATTTTAAATCCTAAATAATGTAATTCTTTTGTGGCAGTTTTACATTTGGATGCATTTACTTTTAAACCAGCTTCATTGAACAATAAAAATACTTGTCTTAAATCTTTTAAATGTGGTTCCAAACTATTACTTGTAATTATAATATCGTCCAAATAAATAAACGTACTCTTACCAAGGACCGGTGTTAAGACAATGTCCATACATCTCTGGAAAGTTGCCGGATTAACCGAAAGGCATCCTAAGAAATCCGTACGTGCCAGACTTTGTTATGAAGGCGGTCTTGGGGACATCATCAGGTCTTACCCCAATCTGAAAATACCCACTCGTAAGATCTAATGTAGACATGTACTTCGTGGAGGTAATATTGCGGATTACCTCCTCAATAATAGGTAAAGGATATACGAAATATTTTGTGACGGCATTTAACTTACGATAGTCTACAGCGAAACACCACCACTTCGGGTGCGTAATCGGGAACTTGTTGTTTTTCTTACATAAAACTACTGGGCTAGCATAACTGCTAGACATAGGAGTAATTATTTTATTCTTCAACATTTCCTTAATATGAATCTCAATTATTTCTTCCTTAACCTTATCATATCTATATGGTTTCTGCCTTACTGGTTGGGCATCCCCGGTCTCCATACCTGCCAACTTTTACAAATTTTTCGTAATTTTTATGAAAATGTGTTTGTCTACGATTTTACGATCGTAATCCATTTTTTACGATTTTTTTCCTTTTTCAAGTGTTTTTAGTGATTTTTGGTCGAAATTTTAGAATTTTTCGCCAATTGCATCGTGTTTTACCGCCAACTACCGACTACTTCGAATCCAGTAACCTGCGGTTTCTCCCAACTCGCCGCTTAACCAGCCATTCCAATGCGCTGAACTTGTTTCTTCCACTCTTTTCTTTGTGGGCGCCAGATTATTTTTTTTCGCGTTTCGCTTCAGCAGCAAGGGAATTACTCAGCAAGCGTGGATTGTCAAATTCTGTTTTTTTTTTTTTTTTTTTTTTTTTTTTCCCTGCTTGCACGTGCTACGAATTTTCTTAATACGTCATTGTTACGAAATGAGTTCAAAAAAACCGTATTCTCAATAGTTTCGGCCTGCCTACAAAGCTGAATTTCCAACAATTAAAGAATCTTTCAAAGGAAATAACTATGCATTTTGCAACGTGTGCGTGTGTGCCTTCATAATAAGTCACGGTGGAAGAAGCGACATTGTGAAGCATGTTAAGTCTAAAAATCATGAAGTTAATGCTTCGGCTTCGACAACGTCAAAGAAAGTGGATGATTTTTTTTCAAATTCGGCTACGAATTCGGATGCAGATGTCATTTTGGCAGAGTGTTTGTTTACTGCATTCCTCATCGAACACAACATGCTGCTAAGCGCTGCCGATCACGCCGGTTAACTTTTCAGATGGATGTTTCATCTTTTGACAAATTGAAAATACATCTTTTGAAAAGACGTTTTT